GAGGCGTCAACAGCAGGGGGCTAAGCCTGACGCCACGGCAGGCGGCCGGGCTGCCTGGGTGCACCGGACGACCCTGGCGTGGGCCATCAAGAGTCAAGCCGCCGGCGTGCAGCTACAGCTGCTGCCACCCAAGACCACAGGCTGGCGCCGCGTCTGCCGGCCGCTCCTGCTGCTGCTGCTGCTGCCACTGGTGCCGCTGGTGCCGCGGCTGCTGCCACTGCTGCTGCTGCTGCTGCTGCTGCACCGACAGCGGCGTGAGGCTCGCAAAACTGTTGCTCAAGGGCGCGTCTCCAGGGGCGGCGCGTTACGCCCCCGAGTGCTCGTGGGTTTGTAACCGCAGGTCAACCACAGACACTGACCATCAACGCCAATGGGCGATGCTAGCACCAAGGGAGGGCCTGCCAAAGCCCTCGGGGCTCACCTGGAAGTACTTGCCGCAGACAAGGCACGCGTACACGTTGAGCGGCGTCAGGCTGACGCTGCAGCACTTCTCAAAGTCAAAGTCAAGGTTCTGCAGGGATGCCGTCGTGTGTGTGTATGTGTGAGTACATGCGTGTGTGTATGCGTGTGAATGGGCGTATATGTGCGTGCATATGTGTGTATTTCGCACGGCAAGTCTCTCCGTGCGTGTATTTGTGTTTGTGTGTGTGTGTATGTGTGTGTGTGTGTGTGTGTGTGTGTGTGTGAGGGTGGGGGGCCTGGAGGCATAGGCTGGGTGGCCATGCGACAGGCGACAGAGGTGGGCGCAGGGATGGGTGCGGTGTGGGCGATGGACATGGGGCTTTTAGCGCCCAGGCGGCGCAACCGCTGGCGTCAGCGGATGCAGGTCTGGATGGTGCAATGAAGGCCGCCTGGCGCTGCCCAGGGGTGCAGACACCAGCTGCTGTCCAGTTGGGTTGCCATGCCCAATGGGCCGCCCATTCCCGAGCAGCACAATGGCTGCTTCGCCCACCCTCAGCTGCTCCTCAAATCCCCTACGCAGTTGCGCCGTGTCCAACAAGAAGAACGCCAACCAACTACTCAATCCCCATCACTCGCGAGCGCGAGCCTTGCTGGCCGTCCTGCGGCCGCGGAGGGACCCAGGCACACTCGACGCCGGTCCACTGTCACACACCTGTCGAGAGATGGTGTCTAGGTATGGGCACTCGCGCCCTTTCTTGACTGCGCTGCGTGTTGTTGACGTGGGCAGCACGATGCGCTCGTCGTCGTCGCCCTGAGCTGGCGTTGGCTGCTGCGGTTGCTGCTGCGCTGCGCTGTCGGGCAAGGCTGCTGTTGCTGCTGCTTCCGCTGCATCCGATGCCTTGAGTTGCTTGGCTGGCAGCTCTTCTGAGGCATCTAGCGGCTGAACCTGCTCATCATCTTCTCGTTGACGCTTCATGGTGATGTGAACCGCGAGCAAGTCTGAATAGAAAGCTCCAGATCACCGGCACCAGGTCGAAATGCTAGTCGCGTTATAGCTTATACAAGAGGGCCCTAGTACTTGTTGTAAGACCAAACCATAGCGGCAACGTCGCAGAGAACTAACAGGAAGGATGCCACTGCACATGAAACTCGCTTGCTTCCGTACTGTGTCTCGCGCAAATGCGATTGCAACGTCAGCTTGATGTGACGCAGTGCACCCGTCACGCCACATGGGCTCGGGTCAACGCAGCTGGTGAGTGCAGTGGTGAGAAGGTGACCTCTGGTGACGCTGATCCGCCAGCCACGTGCGTCGCTCAGCCAGGGCCTGGCCTCATCGTAACCATTTAGTAACCATTTCCTCGGACACACCTATCAGCAGTCGTCGAAACAGGTCGGTATGCTGCACCACACTGTGCCAAGTTTAACACCGTGCTCTGCTGTTCAGGTATGATTGACAACGTCAAAGGAACTCGGCAATGGGCCCGCATATTATTGTTGGCTCTGGCCGGTGGCGATTGACGGTTGAAGAGTGTCTGATACTGACGCTTTGGTCATTCTGACGAGCCCCTGTCCCACCAGGCGCCCTTGTTTGCGCTGGCGCAGCACAAGACAGAACCCACCAATGGCACCGAGGCAGGAGCCATAGGACGATGGATCGAACAGTATGCCTCCCATACATAGGTTTGTGCTTGATGCATGTATGCATATGGCCGTGGGTTCTGTGATCCTACAGTGAGAGTACAAGGAAGGAGGGATCTGGAGCGGCACAGTCGTTTCATCTCTTGGGAGCCCATGCATCGTGACAGAAGTGGGCGGCATGGCGGCTTATGATATAGTGCACAGTAGGTGTTACAAACAGCAGTATGGGACGCCAGCGACAACAGACTTTCAGCTGTACTTTATGCATCAACAAGCTCCAGACCCCCCCTTCCCAGCCCGAGCTCGAGCTGATGACTGTCATGTGTTGCAGGGCTCCAGAGGCAAAGGTCATTGGCACGCTTGGCACGCTTGATCAACTCAAAACTTTGCAGAATCACCTTTTTACATACAAAACATCCGCATGCTTGAGTAAGTATGGCAGCAGATCAAACGCGGACTCTACTCGTCAACGATGGGACAGAGATAGAGTACGAGCTGCATGGTCCGGAAACAGGTCCCTGGATTGTTCTGCTACACGGTAGGGAGCCTTGGAGCTGGCAGCCGAGGGGGGCGCAGCGGGTGTGCCCGTCCATGATGCTGCCCGTGCCGCCCCCACCCCTGGCTCGGCTGAATTTATGCTGGATCCCCCTCGCCGAGTATCAAAGGCTGGAGCGGCAGCCGCGCATACTTCGAGCGCAACGTCGCCGCTCTGGCCGCGTCGTGCCGCGTCCTGTCCGTCGACCAGCGCCACCACGGCGGCAGTGCGCGCACGCAGCACGGGCGCCACGTCGCGCGGCTGGCCGCCGACCTGCGGGATGTGCTGGCGGCGCTAAATGTGAGGAGGGGCTGTGCGCCTGCAACCCCCTTGCTTGTGTATGCTGGGATGTCGCGTCTGGGTGTCGGTGCAATTCCGATCTGGTTCGCAGCAATGTTACGCGCTTAAGCTGTGTGTCGTCGGGTGCAGCCATGTGGTGCGCATTGCTGCCTGACAGGTGTACTGACTGCATCTCTGTGTGCATATACAACCTGTGTGTTCAAGGCCTGCTGCTCGTGGTGTTTTGGGGAGTTCAAAGGCATGCTCCAATCAAACCATCATCCAGAACCCAACGAGTCAATCGGCACGGTATGTGCACTGACCCACGTCCCAAGTGCGGGCCTTCATGCGTAGGCGCAGTCCACAGCCTTGTGTTCCATGCGTATGCAGGTGACCGATGCATGCGTGGTGGGGACATCCATGGGCTGCGCGGTAATCTGGAGCTACATAGAGCTCTTCGGCACCGATCGGCTGGTGGGGCGGTTGTCGGCGGTTGCTTGTCCCGGCAGCTGGCCAAGGGCGTCAGAGCTCGTGCTGTGTTGCCGGCCGCGCAGCCGTGTGCTCTCGCCGCGCCGCTCTCAACTGAGTGCCGAGCAGCTTGGAGCACGTTGCCTTGCCCAAAAGCGCGAGCTGATCGTCGACCGTGTCAAGGTCTGCAATTCTCTGCACCTCCCGCGCGGCCTCTCAGGCCAAGGCTGTGTTTGTGGATCAGGCGCCGCTGCAGAACCGCGCCCCCGGCTGGGAGCTGGGCAGCAAGGGCTGCAACAACGAGGCAACGCTGGCTGAGTTGCAGGCCACCCTCAAATCTGACCTGGGTGCTGTGGCGGATGGCAACGCAGAGGGTGGGCGTGGTGGATGAGTCAGGGGATGGGGCAGCGCTCAGGGGCATGGTGTGAAATGGTCGGATCCAGGTTTGGTTGACCGTACCAACCAGAATCGACAGTCAACTTGCGTTCTCGGCTGATCACGCACACACTTACACGCGCAGCAAGCGCGCCACATGCGGGAATACCGCGCACCCGCCGCCGCAGGTTGCCTCACCCTGCCGCTTCCGCCCGCCGTGCTGGCGCGTCTGCGCGCCGAGACGCTGCGCTGCGACCCCTCAGCCCTGGGGGAGCTCATGGCGGACCACACACAGGTTTGAACCGACTGCAAATTGACATACTTGATGGTTGCAGCTTGATTGGTGCCTCACACCAGTCCAGGGGACAGCTCGTAATCTGGGAGCGCTAGCACCGCAACGCCGGGGCTGCTTTGTTGGGCTGGGGGTGCCACCCTGCAGCAGGCTCGGGCTGTCCTGCCCTGGTCACCGATGCGTGAAGGGTTACGAAACGAATCCTGCAAACTTCGTGGCGGCACCTCGTACATTGTCACCTTGCCGCTGCTGCTCTGTCCCCCAACGCAACGCATTTATTGCTCATCTGCAAGGCTCCGTGCCCGCGCCCCGACCCCGCCTGCCGCCTGGGCCCGCGCCCGCGCCCCCGCCCCGCAGCTGGACTGGCGAGAGCTGCTGCCGCGCATCGCCATCCCGTGCCTCAACGTCGTCGGCGGCACGTCGGGCTGCTTCCCTGTCGAGGGCTGCCTGGAGGTCGGGCGGCGCATCCCCGGGTGCTGCAGCGTCGTATTTACCAGGGCCAACCACTGGTGCGCCCGCCTGCGCCCGCGCCCGCATTGCATCAAGCGTCGTCAGCCTCGATGCGCGGGCCCGAGTGCGGCGCTGGCCGGGAGCATGCCCAGTGCGCCGCCGTGGCTGCTCTGAGGGCGCCTGCGTCGCCCTTGGGTGGAGGCTGTGACGCTGCAGGGAAGCTACGCGCTGCGTCTCGTCGGTCCGAGACGCAAACGTGCACCTGTTCGAGGTGCCGGCGGCCTGCACGGGGCTTGCGAGTCTCTGCCACCTCGTACACGCCCACCGCATTCGCCCCCACCCCCCAAAAAAACCAACCAAAACACTGCCAGGCTATACTTGGAGCAGCCCCAGGAGTTCAACGAGCTGCTGCTGGATTTCGTGAAGCGCGGCAATGAAGGCAGGCCCAAGGTGGCGCACATTGAATAGTCATATCGCGCAGGCGGATGGTCCTACATTCCAGGACGCCTGATCGACGCTGCCCGGCTGCCGGGACTGCCATTTCGTCACAATTTGCGCAGCAAAGTTTGGAGGTTGGCACTCGCTGCAGGTGCAGTACGACGGTAGCTGCACGTGCAACCGCTGCCTTTGCTTCACTTGCGAAGCGGCGCAATTCTGTGGCTGGTTGCCGCAGTTGTTACGTGGGCCAACATCGGAGGGAGATGCGTGCTTTAGTAGAACAACACGCAGATTGGATGCACTGTTAGTGTCACCACAGATCTGCTCAGGAGCAGGAGGGCCCAGTGCACAGCGCGTCATAATGAGTGCGATGCAGCCAATACTTCTGCGCCAAGCGGGTGGGTGGGGAGCAGCCGTGGCGCTTGTCCGATCTGCACGCGCAGCCTGTCACCCAAAGCTCGCCTCTTTGCTGGCTGCAGGCCCAACGCTGCAGCAGCTGGTGCATGTCACGCTTGAGGTGGCGAGCACTGCAGTCGCCGTGGAGGATGAAATGACAAAACAGCAGCAGCGGCAGCAGCGGCGAGAAGCCAAGTGGTGCGACCAGAATGCGGGGCCGCTGCGGGGCTTCACCACTTCAGCATCCGCCCAGGCGCCCAGGTGCGTAGGTTTTACTGGTCAGGGCGTTGCACCTGTGCCCGTATCACCCCGCGGGCGCTGTATTGGCCGCCTCTGCGGCTGGTGGAGCTGCCGGCGGCGCTGGCGGGTGCGTTCATCGTGCGTGCAACCCTCTGCAATGCGGCCCTGTACCGCAGGTTGCAGGAGAATCTCAAGGTTCCCAGGCGGCACAGCCTGTACACGCGGGAAAATTACAGGGTGAGGCCGCCCCGCAGCACACCCCACACCACGGTCAACCGCACATGACGGTCATTGCACAGCAAATGCCAACTGGGCATGCCCACAGTCACACACACACACACATACACGCACGCACGCGCACACGCACGCACACGCAAGCGCACGCACACGCAAGCACACGCACACGCGTGCACACACACACACACACACCCACACAAACACTCACACACCTTGTTAAATCAGCAAACACTCCATTCCATCCGCGGCCCCCAGGCCCTGAAGGAGCGAGCCTGGAACACCACCGCCTTCAAATCACTGCTGCAGCCCCGCGCCCCCGCCTCCCGCGCCAGCGCCAGCGCCGCCGCGCAAGCCACGCGCGCCATCCGCGAGTGCGCCTCGCTCGCCGACCTGCGGGCGGTCGTGCAGGCGCACGGCCACGAGTTCGACGCAGTCGCGGTCGCGGCCGCGATCGGCCGCGTGCCACACGTCACGGGGGCGGGGCAGGAGGTGGGGGCGGAGCGGCTGCTCGACCGGCTGGTGCCGCGGCTCCTGCGGCTGCTGGACGGCGGCGAGGGTGATGTCACGAGCAGCGGCGGTGACGTCACCGGGGGCGGCCTGACCCTGGGGGCGCGGGAGCTCACCAACGTGCTGTGGGCGGTGGCGAGGTCCAAATACAGCCTCCAGCCGGGGGAGCTGGGGCGGCTGCAGGCCGCGCTGCTGCCGCGGCTCGCGGCGGCGTCGGCGCAGGATTTGTCGGTGGCGGCGGTGGCGGCCGTGCAGCTCGCGCCCGACGACGAAGCGTTTTGGGGCGCGCTCGCGGCGCCCGCCGCCGCGGCGCTGCGCGCGGCGACGGCGGAGGCGGCGGCGGCCAAGAAGGCGGCGGCGGGTGCGGGGGCCTCGAAGGACGAGCGGCGCGGCAAGGGCGCCCGGCGGAAAGGCGGGGCCGGGGGCAAGGCTGGGCAGGTGTCCCCCCTGTATACTGGCCCCGATGCCCTTGAGGCCGCGGCGGCCGCGCGGGACGGCTCCGCCTCGGCGCGCGTCGCCCAGGCCGCCGCCAACATAGCGTGGGCCCACGCGCGCACGCGGCGGACGCCGCGCGATCTGGCGGCCGCGCTGAGCGAGTGGCTGCTGGCCGGCGGCGCAGCGCACCTCAACCCACGGGAGCTGTCTATGCTTGCTTACACGGCCTCCCGCTGGGGTCGGCCGCGCTACAGCAGCGGCAGCAGTGGCAGCGGCCGTGGGTTTGTCGTTGGCGGCAGCAGCGGCGGCGGCGGTGGCGGCGGCGCGGCGCTGCCGGAGGCCGCGATATCTGCGCTGCTCGACACAGCTGCCGGGAAGCTGTGGCAGTTCAGCGCCGACGAGCTGAACGGGCTGATGCGGGCGGCGGGGCTGCTGCACGTGCAGCACCCGGCGCTGCTGGCGGCGCTGGTCAAACAGCTTGACCACCCCGAGGCCGCCGCCGCCGCCAAGCCGGCCGCGCTGTCCGCTGCGCTGTCTGCCGGTGCGCGCGCCGGTGGCGACGGCGGGCGCGCGCTGATGCGCGCGGCCGCGGCGGCGGTGGCGGCTGGGCCGCGCGCGTTCACAGCGGGGGAGGCGGCGAGTGTGTTGTGGGCGGCGGCGGCGATGGGGGTGGAGGATGACGCGTTCTATGCGGCGGCGCTGGCGCGAGTGCAGGAGTCCCTTGCCGACTGCGGCCCGCCCGACATCGCGCGCGCGCTGCTTGGCGCATGCGGCGCCCGCGACGCGCCCGCTCGCGCGCGGCTCGCCGCCGCGGCCGCCCCGGCCGCCGCGGCGCGTGCGGGGTCGTTCTCGGCGCGCGACGCGGCGGCGGTGCTGCGGGTGCTCGCGGCGGCGGCGC